CACCATGCTTATCACCTACATCTTCACTTTCGTTTCACCGTCACCAAACATAAAAAAAATAATTTTTTTCTAAAAAATGTTTTCTGAAAAAAAAAATTATATCTAAATAAATGGAGAAATTTACAATGTGCACCTTTTCAAATGCTGCATATTGTAAAAAAATTATGATTTTTTATGATGAACGTTATGATTGTTTGTCATGTGTGTTATGACATTTTGTAATAAAGTTATGAATAATGAATTTATAATGTGCACTCAAAAGTTAAGATTGATAATGTTATGACATTTTGTGATTTTTGTTACGACATTTTGAGATTTTATTATGACATTTTTTAGTAAAAAAAAAGTTATGATTTTTGTAGTGAAAAAATTATGACAATTTAGGTTTAAGTTATAAAATTTTATGAAAAAATTATAAAAGACATACCATATGTGCCTTTTTAAGGGGCACATTGCAACGTCTCCCAAATAAATGGAGCGGTAATTCAAGTCACATAAACCAACAAATGTGTTTATAAGTTTTGTTTTTTTTTTTACTCAATCAACATTGAAGAGGAGTTTAAGCAGAAAACTGAATACGAATGGTTAAAGTAAAATAAACAGCTGTAGTTGATTGAAATAGTAATTCAATTACAAGAGGGAAGTTCTACTTTATTGGTACTCTTGATTTTCCGAATGACGATAAATTTATAGGTGAAGTGATATATAAATTAAAATTTTATATAAAATGATATAGTTTAAGGAAAATTTACTCATAAGTCCTAGTTTTTGAAACGTTGAACCATTTAATATAGACTCCTCGTTTTAAAACAAATGAAAAATTTACATCTCAGGCTCTCCAAAAATTAATTACTTCATGAAAAAATATAAGATTTTACTTTTTAATATTTATGATGTTTTCCACTAATTTGAAAATAATTTTCCCAACCTCCACTTGTCTGGAATTACCCCAAAACAAATCACCTTTATAAAAAAAAAAAAAAAAAAAAAATGTCATTCAAATTATGGTTTTTTTTTTTTTTGGTATGAATTTCATATTCATATATAAATAAAGTTTTGGTTTACAACTACGAGCATTTGAATCTACTTGTACTACTTGCTACTGGAATTTCTATTCTTCCCGTCTTTGATTAACGCTTCATAGATAGTTTGGTTTCATTTGCAAATCAATTTTTTTAAAATAAAAAATTAATTTAATAAAAATAAACAACCAACGCTTAAAGCTTGTTTTGGTTATTTCTATTTTTTTTTTTTTGGTTTTAGTGATTTTTTTTAATATTTTACATAATTTGTTTTTAGATACATCTAACTTAAATACACTTAAAAAGTATAATATTTATGATTTTTAAAAAATAACAAAAATTTAAGCATTTTTGTATTTTGTTATATTCAATGTATTTTTGAAAGATTTTGTACAAATTTTATATTTTAAAATATATCAAGATTAAATAGATCTAAAAAGTAAAAAAAAAAAATGATTAAAATATTTTAAAAAATCACTAAAAATAAAAAAAATACTAATTGAAAACTTAAAAAATTGTTTTTGAAATTTCCAAACCAAACACTGATGTCTTTCTAAAAAAAATATATATTTTTTCTATTTTTTTAAATTAAATTTTTGACACAATAAATTTAAAAAGTAATTTTGGTAAAGGAGTTTTTTTAGTCAATCTCATTCTTAGTACTTATGTTTCTTCTAACTTATATTATTTTTGAATATTTCATTAGGTCTTATTTGGTGTATATGACCAAATCACCCTTTCAACTTTCTACGCTTGTTTCTTTTTTGAAATTAATACATAATAATAAAATAATAACAATTTCTTATTTCATGGAGAAAATCTCTCATCATTCTAGGGAAAATCAGTTCATTCTATGGAGAAAATCTCTCCATTATTCCATGGAGAAAACTCTACTTCATTCTAGGGGGAAAAAATCTCTTTCTTATTCCATTGAATTTTTATCTCACCCTTTTAAAATCCTAAATTGTCTACCTTCTAAAAATCTTTCGCTAAATGTTGATATGAACTTTCACATTACAAAGTAATATCTCCTTATGAAACCATTCACACACTCAATGCTACATGAATGTGTGAACATTAACATTGGATTGGATGCGACTACCTATTTGTATTATAGAATTAATTTGAACATTTATATCTCTATGTATACATTATGTTTGGGTTAATATGACTACTGATAGGTTTTGTTTGGCATAAATTAAATAAGTAAACTTATTTAGATAAGTGCACTTATTTAGGTTATATCACATATCTACTTATCTACATATCTTTTTGTAAAAAATTAAAAATTACACTTATTTGGATCATCCCAAATAACCCCTTACCTTTGAAAAAATAAAACACATACCAAAGTATAATGTAAATGTTCACAATAAAACATCAAACATGCAACTAACCTTCAAAAAAATAAAACTCATGTCAAAATACAATGTAAATATGCACAGTTTATAATTAACATACAATTATTCTTAAAAAACTATACTCATACTAATGTGAACATTCACACTTCAACGTGAAAATTAAAACAAAATTGAAAAATGTTTAATAGTAACAAACATGATTATTCAATTAACAAGTATAGTAACAAAAAAAAAAAAATACAATTAACTTTCGAACAAATAAAATTCATACAAAAATACAATCTGGATATTCATAATTTACAATTAACATACAATTAGTCTTAAAAAAAAACTAAACTTATACTGATGTGAATATTCACACTGCAATGTGAAAATATAAGGGTAAACTACCAATAGGTCCTAATAGTTGGACTTAATTCCCATCAAGTCCTATTGAAAATAAGTCTTAATAAAATTGTCGCTAAAAATAATTTTTTTGTGACAATTTTTTGTATATGTCACTAAAAATTGACAATTAGTGACTTTTTTTGTCATGATTTTTACAAATTGTCGCTAAAACTTACAATTAGTGACCTTTTTTTTATGACAATTTTTTCCCATAGGATCTGTTTGACAATAAGTTCACTTATTAGGGCCTATACGTAAGTATCCCAAAATATAAAATAAAATTTTAAAAAGTAAAAATTGACTATTTCAATTGTTCAATAACAATAAAAATGATTGTTCAACCAAAACATATAATAACAATCCCATTGAGGCAACTTGTTAAGCAAGTTAATAAAAAACTGTAAACACAAAACAAAACATACAAACCAAGGTATTGTCCATTTGTTAACGCTCTATAATCCAAAAAAAATTACACCAAACAATGCACACCAGCTAGTATTCTGCAATTCAAAAAAAATCAAATTAAAATTAAATACCAAAAAAAATTAAAATGTTTTTTGAATTGAGTTTTTTGTTTTTCGTGTTTTTTTTAGTAAATATTTTTAAAATTTTAAATATTTTTTTTCTTACTTTTTTAGATGCACCTTACTTAAATGTATCTAAAAAATAAAATATTTGTGAAAAAATATTTTAAAAAATTAATAAATACACAAAAATATGAAAAAATATACTAATTTTTTGTATTTTTTTTTATGTATTTTTGGTATTTAGTGAATTTTTAAAAGATTTTTTCAAGAAAATTATACTTTTTAAGTGTATTTATGTTAAGTGTGTCTAAAAATTAAAAAATTGCTTAAAATATTAAAAAAATCAGTAAAAATAAAAAAATACGGAAAATAAAAAAGTAAAATTTTCTGAAAAATGTTTTCAAAAAACTAGAAACAAACATAGTGAATCTTCTATATTTATATACAGTATTTTATATATACCATAAATGAAATATATCTAATAATAATTTTCTATGTTAGATATAGGCAAATTTACCTATAAATCCCATATTAAGGAATGATGATCCTTTTAGTCTCAAGAATTTTTTTATAGACCAATTAATTCCGTTGATTTCAGAAATTTGGATTTAATAAGATACATAATCTATGAGAATCAAATTTGGAATGATTTTTTTATATAAGAATCTTTTTGTTTAGAAAACCTTTTAAAAGAAATACAAAAATAACTTGAAATATGGAATTTTTCAAAAATTCTAAAAAAATATGGGATTCTTCAAACATTTCAAAAGGAGTACAAAAACTCCTTAGTAAGTTTTGGGCAAATGTATAATTTCAAACTGTAATACTCCAATATAACACTCAAGCATAACACTATAAAAAAACTTCTAGTGTGCTTTTTTTCAAATGAAACACTCTAATATAATACTAAAAAGAAAAACTATTTAGTATAACACACAAAAAACTCCTTAGTATATATATATATTTTTTCAAATATAACACTCCAAGATAACGTTAAAAAAAATGATGTGGAATTTTTCAACCCATTCCAAAAGGAGTATAATTTTTTTTTAGTAAGTTTTGGATAAATGTATAATTTCAAAATGTTAGTGTTGCATTAAGGAAAAGTACACTAATGAGCTTTTTAGTATTTTTGTATGTGTTACATTGGAGTGTTACATTTGAGATTATATTGATTGGAGAGTTACATTTGGAAAAAAAAAATATAGTAAGAAACTTTTTTGTGTGTTATATTGGAGTGTTACGTTTGGGATTACATTGATTGGAGAGTTATGTTTAGAAAAAAAAATACATTAAGAAGCTTTTTTGTGTGTTACATTAGATTGTTACGTTTGGAAAAAATACATTAAGCAATTTTTTTAGAGTGTTACGTTGGTACGTTTGACAATAATATAATAAGAAATTTTTTAATGTGTTATATTAGAGTGTTACATTATTGAAGTGTTACATTGGAATGTTACATTTTTTGTTTGTAATGTGGATTTGTTCTAAAATGAGGAAAAATCCAAAACCTCGTGGATTGCCCAAATGTGTAATTTCACATTTAGAGAAATCTACTTTTATCCCTCAAAAATTAAATTTAAATGTGTAAGTAACTACCATTTTATATAATTTTCACTTTAATGAGACTTTTCGATCCATACCAAAAAAAAAAAAAAAAACCAAACAACATTTCAGTATCATAACCTCCTCCTACCTTCTTCTATACTGTTACTTCAAAACAACATGTGGTCGAAGTTCTTGTTGAGAGCCTGGACGACCCTAGCTGGAAGAAGAGCAGTTGAACAGCCTGTCTTCTTCCGGGGCTCTGAAGTGTTGTTTCCATATCTGCGAGGTAAAAACACACCGGTGCCAGCGCACTCCCTCTTCACACCAGATCCGCCGAGAAACACAACTCTCATGCCGGAACTACCGTGTTGGGAGGGCTGGGCTTGGTGGTTCTTGTGCTGAACTTGCAAAGGAGGCCATGCAGACTGAGGCATACCCAGTGGCCTCGCATATCTTCCATTATTATTCTCGAACCCACCTCCATTAACAACTCTCCCTCCTCTGTTTGGACCCATCATCTGTTGCTGAAGCTGGTTTTGCTGTGAAAACAAACCCTCTCTGGTTTGTCTTCCCCAAATCGAAGAAGAGCACTGGTGTTTCATCATTTGGTCATGCCTCGCTTGCTCAAACTGCAAAACAAAACAAAACAAAAACAAACCCAAAAATCAACAAACTAGATGAGAAGAGGGAACAAGTATATACACATTATGAGACTCACTCACATGATTGGACTGTGAGAGGTTGTGAGAGAGGCACTGATTGGCATAGAAAGAGGTGTTGATGTTTTTCAGAGGCGGTGGAGCGAGAGACCAAGGAGGGCCGAGAAGGCCTCTGGCTTTGGGAGGTCCTTCATCGTTCATCTTCAACCTCGCCACTTGTCCCGCGGCCTCGTAAATCAGATCCCAAGAGTCGTTGTTTCCACCCGGCGGCGTAGTCGGCGGTGAAGGGCCGTTGGGGCTTTCGAATGCGCTCAGCGTCGATTGAGGCGAACCGGACAAAACCCAGGACTTCTGAGTCAACACAGATTACAAAATCACAACTCATTTTCACGGAATCGACACCCGAAAAGGAAAATACAGCCAGAAGAAATCGAAAGCATACCTCGAGATTTTGAGGAGCAGAGGCCATTTTCTGTGCTCTTTCTTGCAGAGTGAAACGAGCCAAGCGGCGAGTCAACCCGGCGAGTAAGTCCTCCTCGTCGCTCTCGGTCTCGGTTGAACCCACGACAGACTCAACAGGCGAGTAGGAGCCAAAATCGTAAAGGAAGGCAAAGTTGGAGCCAAAAACAGAGTTAAGGCCATTTTTGTTGAAGTTTTCTTTGCCCA